CTCTTCAAGGTCCAGGTCCCATTTTCCCTTCTGATAAAATACCTTGACTGCCTTACGTCGCGATAATCCCGCCCGCGCACACGCCTTGCCACTTTACTGCACTCCCGACACCGTCGCTATCGCCAGAATTTTGGTCGCTATAACATCCTCATTATATTCCGCGACCTTTTCGAATTGCCTCGTGCTTTTGGGGTACGCGCGACGTTGCTTTTGCGCGTAGAGCTATCCTTCCACCAAGCGCTTGTTTACCCGACGCGCCCCCAGTCTTGGTGGTCATCAACTTATTCTTGTTCTCCCACTAACCATCACTACCACCTGTACCTGAAAAGAACCCCTCAACATTGGAATCCAACTTTTTTTTCTCTTTTCTCTTCGCGTGGGTAATTGCCTCTTCTCACATTTATACCGCGTAATTACGCGAGTGCATCATGTTCTACTCAGAGACTTTGCTCAACAAGAGCGGGCCGCTCGCCCGCGTCTGGCTTTCTGCCAACCTCGAGCGCAAGCTATCAAAGAATCATATCCTCCAATCCAATGTCAAAGACAGTGTGGATGCCATCATCATGCCTAGCCAGGCGCCGATGGCCTTGCGACTAAGTAGTCAGCTGCTTTTGGGTGTGGTTCGAATCTACCAAAGAAAGACGCGTTATCTTTTGGATGATTGTAATGAAGCTATGATGAAGATCAAAATGGTAAGCCCTCCCCATGACGCGCTGCATGGCCGAGTACACTAATTCTCTCAAGGCATTTCGGTCTTCGGGCAACAACGACATGGCCGTCAACCTACAAATCCCCAACCGGGAAGCCCTGACGCTTCCTGACAGAATCACCCCATACGATAATTTCGAACTACCTCCTCCACCAGACGCAAACTGGCTTTTGTCTCAGGTGGAGGATGTGACTGCTGCTCCAATTGGCCGCAAAGGACGCGCCAGTCAGCGTGACATCAACCTTCAGGAAGATTACGACAACAGCCAGTTTCTTAACGATGGCATGGGAATGGAAGATGACATGATTGCACCGATGGGGAATATTGATCTGGAATTGGATTTCGGTCTTGATGATCTTGGCCTTGAAGGGACAGGCCTTGAGCCCGAAGGTGGCCGAAGGGAGGATCGCACAACAGCTGGTCCCGAGGTTGATGATTCAGAGCTTGATTTCCCCCAAAAGGACGACGATCGAGCGATGACTTTAGATCTGCCCGACGAGCGCGTTCAGATCCATGACGGCGAAGATCTTGACCCGATGGTACTCGACTTCAACCCTGACGATGTCTCCCAAGTACCTGATATCGCAGCTTATCCTCCTCCTCGAATTTCGGAGTCGCCGCTTTCCGACATCGACGAAGACCGGGTTGCACAGCTAGAACAGGATCACTCGAGATACCAGATGGCAGACCTTTATGAACCCGACCACGAGGAAGACCAAGTCATTCGACGACCGGCACAGCGCGCTAAGAAACAGAAGATACTCACACCCGATGAAGAAATCGCTCTCTCAAGTAACCACATCAAGCAACAGCAAGCCAACCGCGACAATATCATAAGGGAGGGTGGATTCCTTCCCCGCGACCCCTTTCTTCTGGCTTTGATGGATATGCAAAAGAGCGGAGGATTCGTTTCATCAATCATGGGGGAAGGCCGAAGCTCAGCCTGGGCTCCAGAGCTTCGCAATATGCTCACACTAGACACTGCTCGTGGCATGAACGAGCTCAAGCGCAAGCGTGACAGTGGCATTGCTGATGTCGAAAGTGACCACGGCGCTTCCAAGTCACCACGCATGCTCGATGTTGGTTCAGACACCGGACTTGGTTTCGAGGGCGCTTTCGGTGAAATGAGTATCCCCCCGGAGGAAAGCCGCCATGAAATCCTCGCCGATGACGAGATGGAGGACGAAGAGGCAGGAACCATGATGCCTGGCTTTGAAGACACGACTGTTGCCCTGGTCCATCCTGCTGAGAGCGGTCCTGTTTCTCAAGTCACGAAACACGTAGTGCACCAATTGCGAGAGCGATTTGGTGACGATGCTGCTGACAGCCCCAGCAAGCGAACTCAGAGAGCAGTTCTTCTCCAGAACCTCTGTCCTAGACAGCAGACCACCAAGGCCGATGCTACCAAAATGTTCTTTGAGTGCCTGGTTCTCGCGACCAAGGATGCTATTAAAGTCGAGCAGGGTCCTGGTCTAGGAGATGACATCCGGATAAGGGCGAAGCGTGGACTCTGGGGAGCTTGGGCGGAGAGAGAAGCTGGTGGTGAGATGTCTCAAGACAATGACGCCCCGAACGAGCCCGAGCATGCTGCAGTTGCTTCAACCGCAGTTGCTGTTTCAGCATAGTCTGACAGGTCGGTTGCTTTTGCTTATTGCATCTTAACGAAAACTTGGATGGGCGGCGTGTGTCAGGTTATATAAACTATTGAATTCCAGCATTCTAGGGCAGTCACTCAGCGGTCGCCCAGATGGTGTTGTAGGCGTTTCGGGAGATACCACGGTTTGCGGTACTTGGATGGATTGGTCGTAGCTCTTTGGGAAAACGGCAGAGGTGGACGTGCAGCAGTTTCTTTTATGAACGAGTTCTGTCGGACATTGCATTAGTTGTTGAGTTAAGTAGTAAAGAACGGTCACCTGTATCTCGACCTTTTAAATATGTTCTCAGCCACCTCGGTGATGATGATGCCATAGTTAAATACTTTCACAGCTGTTCAAACGCGGTCAAGCGCGTAGAAGGTAAATGCGAAGAGCCCCGCCATTTGAACCCCACGTACTCCGTACATCCAGCATGATCTCACTTGCTTTCTCCATTTGTTTTCCAGGCATCAGACACCGAGCAGGCACCCGAATAACAAAAGCCCCTCTTCTCATTGCCTAGGAACCAGGCTTGTACATAAATACACCGCAACCCGCCAAACATTTAGTCGATCGTTGAGTGACCCCGAACCAATCCACCATGCCGCCGCCTTCTCAACTCGTCATTGCTACAGGCTCTGTCAACCGACTCCTTAAAGAGGAGGCTTCATACCACAAAGAGGTTGAGGAGGAGGAAGCCAAGATCAAAGCTCTGAAGGAGAAGATTGATAGCGGTGCAAACGATGATGAGAATGCTTCGTACATGCTTAAACAGCAGGTCAGTCCGAAAGCCTTCACCTTGGTATTCGGCCAAGAAAGTTGATCTAATACAACTTAGCAAACTGCCCTTGAGCAGACAAAGGCCGTATTCCAACCCCTACGACAAAAGATCGCCGTCGCTGTTGAGAAGCTGGCGGAGCAACTCGCCGTGAGCGAAGAGCTGAAAGCTCCAGAGGACCAGGTGGTGCAGGCCAAGGAAGCGCTGGTAAAAGCCAAAGCTACCCAGGCCAATCCTTAATAGAACCATAAAACAGAACAAAGGGAGGATACTTTACGATACCACTTAGAAGACACTTGATAAAAAAAACCAAAGGGAAACACTTCTGGACCTTCATTTGTGAGGGTATCTTAGGATATAATCGATAGTACAAACAGCCGAATGGGAAGCCCTAATTGTCTACTTCCATCTTGTCATCATTACTTTCAGGTGGTTCAACTGTCACCTGAGGTGTCATTCCTCCGTCGTCTTGGGCTCGACTGAACTCAGACTCCTCCATGTCAACATCGTCTCCCGATTCTGCCCTGCGCTCGTCGTGTGGTGGCATAGGCGAAGCATCCCGACTGGGAGCCTGGCTATCTCCCCGGCTTTGAGACTCATTATGACCAGAAGGTGGCTTAAGCGTGTCTGGGCCTGGTGTATCCCTCATTGGTGTTGTTCCTCCATCGAGGGCTTCTGGGTTTGGTGTACCTGCGTCCCCATCTGCCTTCATCTGGCTGTCCAGGTCGGGATGAGGTGTCGCGTTACCGCTCGGTTCGTTTCTGGGTGTCTGGCCGACCTTGTCCACTTCGGCATCATCCTCAGCATCCTCATTCATACCCTCTCGACGATCGACCTCCTCTTTTTCATCTCTAATCTGTCGCCGCAAGAGCATCCCTTCTTCCATGATTCTATTGAACTGTTCTCGCCGTTCTCTCCAAGTTTCGCTGTAGGTTTCGCTCTCTCGCTCTAGCTCTCGACACTCTTCCTCGAGCTTAGCAAGGTTGGTAATTTGGTCTTCCCGTGGTCGAAGAAGACGGTTCGATGTGATTTTTTCCGCCAGCTCATCGAATTGTTTGCGCTGTGCGAGGGTGGCTTGTGCGGCCTCGAGCTGCTCTCGAAGTTGGATATTGTTTTGTCGTACCGATTGGCAATCGGCGAGGATACGATCTTGGTCGACTCTGTAGCGCTCACGTTCTTGGGAATTTGCGTTGTGGAGGAATTGCATGCGCGTGATACTGCTACCAAAAGCATCGAAGTCAAGGTTCATGTCCTCCTTGAGCTGCTTGAGTTTGGACTTGATATCTTCAGACGTATTGGTTCCATTTATGGCAGGATCAGATGGTAGTAAGAGCTGTGATATGGTATTGACTCGTTTGGCGAGGCGCTTAAAAGGCTTCTCTTCCACATTGAGGAGGCGAGTCTTATGAAGCTCAGCCTCTTCCTCAGGATCCAAGAGATCCCATGTGGATGCCATGGTTAATGGTCGAGTCGCGATGGGATGAGAATGTTTGTATAGTTTCTGCGTGGGGATATCGATGCACAGAAAAGACGAAGACGATAGTATGTCGGTCGCGACGCGTCCCAATCGTTAAAAGATTACCTGATTAAGCCTTGGATAAATAGATTTTGTGGAAGTTGAAAGATGATTGACAACAAAGCTCAGCCTTGTGATAGCGTTTAAGATGCGAAAGCAGCCAACCAATGATGCTTCGGAGTGAGGATGACTAAGAATGCTTCTTTGATGATGCATCCTGCCGCCCGTCTCCCACTGCTCGACGCCTTCGCTGTTATTTATAACCTACAATAATCCATCCCAAACACCACTAATTTTATCCCTAAAACCACTGCGCCCTTTACAAACGCACAGCCAAACCCGTCGCATAGAGCCACCAACAACATGTCAGAAGAAGAACGAGAACTTCTGGCTCGTATCAGTCAAGTTGCGGGTTTGTGCCCCTCGCGCATCATGGTAATTTCAATTTGCTGATGAATACTAGGCCAGATCAACCGACATAAGAACCAGCAAGCGGGCTCTCGGGGATCTCCAAGCCTTCATCCTGCCCATCATCGTCGTATGCGGAAACTTGTCCTGAGGGGAGATCACTACTGATATGCCCAGAAAACTCCTATCGACATGCGAGCTCACCGTACCCAGCTCGCCATAATAGAATTGGCCGCCATCCTACGGCGCACCACCACCGAACCCTTCACTTGAATGGCGACAACTCAGCTGCTTCTCGGTCTGCCAGTAGTGGTGCTGAAACACCTCCTGGTTGGGTTTCCAGAACGGATCGCCACCGCCAACTTATTAACGCCAACGTTTACGAGAAGGAAACCCAGAATCGAGCCAAGGCCATTGAAGAAACACGCCAGAGAAAGATCAATGGACGCCGACAGCGCGAGAAGGCTCAGTTCAACGAGTTTCTGAAGCATCAAGCTACCACTTCGAGTGCGCAGACTAACCCCGCAGACCGCAACGTGCTCACCATCGACGGTGTCCAGTTCCGCGTTATGGACGGCGGCAAGAAGCTTGTCAAGATTCCTGGTGCGTGCAAACTTGGGCGCGACTCTGACGCTTGTGCCTTACCCGCTGCAGATGCCCTCAACTCCTCCTCACGAACTCCAAAGTTCGCCACTGTTGCTGGAGTCAAGTTTTACCGAACAAAGACAGGAAACCTCGTTGCGAACAGATTCGTTAACGACCAACGGTACGGAGTTCTTTTTAGGGAGACGAATTTGCTGACAAGGTTAAGGCGAACCGGCACGGTCAAGAAGATAAATCAACTCTGTAAAATCTTCTCAACGACTGGTAATTTCTCTTCCCCAGGCTGGAGTGCTACACATCTCCTTTACCTAGACCGGCCCAGTGGCCATGGGGCGAAACTGACGAGTACTTTGCACATAGGTTCATGCACCAAAGGCCCTCGGTGCCGGTACATTCACGACCCGAACAAAGTGGCACTCTGTAAAGATATGCTGAAAGACGGGCAATGTGTCAACGGCGAGTCTTGTGACCTCTCCCATGACATGACTCCTGAGCGCACCCCCAACTGTTTGCATTTTGCCAAAGGCCACTGTGCCAAGGCTGACTGTCCCTATACTCACTCTAAAGCTTCCCCAGGCGCCCCAGTTTGTCGCAATTTTGGTTTCAACGGGTACTGCGAGATAGGAGCAGAGTGTACTGACCGTCACGTTTTTGAGTGCCCTGACTTTAGCAATACCGGCCGCTGTAAGGTCAAGGGATGTAAGCTCCCGCACCGTGAGAGGGCAAGCGTCCTCCGGAACAAAACCAATGCCGCTGGCGAGCCTCTTGGAGACATTTCAAGTGATGATGAAGCTGCTGATTCCGACGATGTTGATTCAGATGAAGTTGCCGAGTTCATTGATGCAGACTCGGACCTTTCCGATTTTGAAGAACAGAAGGACTTCATATCGATCTAGATCAATCCATCAAGCCTGTTTCTAGCAAGTAGAAGCAGGCAACCTCGGATTTCAGCTTGTTGTTCTTTCTTGGCGTCTGGAGACTGGGACGGGATCCTGGCAAATGATTTCAAGATACCCATGACTTATCGGCGCCTGTAAAGGTTTTGGCTATGAAATACCGCCAGCATATCATGAAACAAAGGAAAAGAAGCAAAAGATGAGCAAAAGCATGCGGTTATTAAGATGAACACAGATGTGTTCAAAGCAGTACCGAAGATAGTAGATATGTATTGAATGAAAGATTCTTTTACTGTGTACGATCATGATGTAATATTAGTGATTGCCTAGATGATTACTGTAAAATGGGTTGAATGAAGATGCTGGATTGCCCTCCTGGCTGTAGCTGTCGGGGATGATTTATGCAGGTAAAACAAGGTGGCATTGTATGTCATCAAGGATGAGGGGCATTGTTACCTTTGAGGAGCCTACTAATCTAATATTAGTAACAGGTGCCTTGAACTTTTGACCTGGCTTATTTGACATGGGAGCAAACGGCTTCATAGGTACTTTATTTTATTGAAAGCAAGCTTGAGAGATTGGGTTGCGGTTCCAGTACCAGAATGAAAACCCGGAATGCTACAGAAATCCCCGAGTCGGAAAACATTCTTTGTCCTGACCTTTGCACACCACAATAGCTCTAGGTGCTGATTGATTTGAAACCATCAACTTCTCGCCTTTCGGGACAAGTAACACATTAGCTTTTCCCCCTTTCTATCCGATATCAATTCTCAATAAACAAGCCATTCAATATATGCTTTTGTCATGAATTAACCATTCCTTACCTATGCTCATTGGTTGAAAAGGCTGCTGTGTTCTCTCCAGTGTGAGTACGGAGTAGCTCTCGCCTCTAGGTACCCTTTGAAGTTTGAAACGAACCAGGGGTTGCTGATCTTTGTTGGCGCTTACCTTGCAGATCTAGAACACCAGTCACATCGCGTTGGATGACAGTTCTGGTACAAGAAACCGCAAAGCCTCAACTCAGCCTCAATCCATGCATCTGCCTCTGCCTCTACCTGTGCCATTGCTTCCATGTGTCTGTTTGCGGTGCTTTGAAGGAATGAGTAAAGCGCCAGCAACTTAATAAACATGTCATCCTCACTCGACGGTATTAACCTGATCCTTAGCTTATTTCGTTGATCCCGTCGACTCATTCTCGATTGGGTTGTTTGCTTCGCGAATCACTGTGTAGATCCTTTGTGAACGGGCCCTTCCGCCTCTGGGCTGTCATCAATATACTACTGATTATAACCCTGCAAACCTCTCTCAAGTACATATTACCAGTACCGTTAGCGAAAATGGGCATACGCGATATTCTCAAGAAGAAGGACGACCTCGCCACAGGCCAGCCGCCTGAGAAAGGCACTATCGATCATCTGGCAGCCCCCGAATTTACCATCATCCGCTCCGACACCTCAACCCAAGAGCGCATCTACCCGCCGTCCATGAAGTCTGTCGACAATCTACATCTCGCAGTCCAAGAAGCCAAGGAAAAAGACAAGTCCCGACGATCCCTCGATGTCTTCCGCTCCGGTCGATCGCGCTCTGCTTCAGAGTCGAGCCAGACAAAGAAAGAGAGCGGCGCCCGTCGTCTGTCTCAGCGACTGCACCTGAGCCGGGCACCTCCATCGTCCGAGAACGTCCCCGAGAACCTGCCCGACATTGTCACATCGGACGAGGCGCAGTGGGAGAAGCGCGCGACTATGCTGGCGGGTCAGAATAACCGCGCCAGGAGCAACAGCAGGCCAGGCACGCCCTCGGACAGCAGTAGAGGCGAAGAGCGGGCTGTTTCGTCGCAGCAGATTGATCAGGATATTCAAGAAGCCATTCGCCTGCACGAAGAGGGGAAGCTGGAGTTGTCGACGCGCATGTTCGGGCGCCTGGCTGATCCTCAAGGCGCCAACAACCCGCTCAGCCAAGTGTTGTACGGCCTTGCTTTAAGGTGAGAACACCGCATAGAATATCAATGTCTCGGGTGGAGCACTTCAGGTAAAGCTTGATAGAGTTTGAAGCTCTGGAAACGGTTGAGACTTCAAACCTTGATGACTTACATACGTCGAGCGATACCCGAAACCTTGTACCAACCTTGTCTTTGATCTATCGAGATGAGTTGATTTACATGTCTCGAACGCTAACATGACTCGTGTTGTACAGACACGGATGGGGTTGTGCACCAGATCCAGAGGGTGCCGTCAAGTATCTTTCCGCTGCAGCCTCCAATTCTGCGTCCATTGAGCAGATGGCTCTACAGGCGGGCATGAAGAAGGGTGGAGCTGCAAAGGGTGAGCTTGTTCTCGCCATTTTCGAGCTGGCCAACTGCTTCAGACATGGTTGGGGCATCGAAAAGGATGCCTACGCCGCCAAGCAGGTATGTTGACTCTGATTCTTGTGGGAGTGACATCAATTGCTGACCATTGACTTTGCTACAGTATTATGAGACTGCGGCGAATCTAGGAGATACTGGCAAGTCGTACATACACGAGCTGAGAACAAGGTCTGACATTATTTGATAGATGCCATGAACGAGATTGCCTGGTGCTACGTCGAAGGCTTCGGGTGTAAGAAAGACAAGGTATGTTACACCAGAAGCCATTTACTCATGACTGCCTGTCTGGCCGATTCAGGAGCACTCTGTGCATGAGCCGCATCGAAGCCATGGCTGCGGAGATGTTCTCGGTGAGCCTGGGTCACTTGATTCGTCGAGATACTGGCACCCAAACCAATTCACTGCCCAGCCCATTCTGTCAGAATCTTTCATCGCCTCTGACAGTTTCCATACGTTTAATGATGCTTGGCTATTCGCATGAGGCTGATATCCTGCACAGTTCGCGGCAGCTCGGTATTATCGACTGGCTGAGAAGGCCGGTAACAAGACATTAGGGAACTCTTGGTAAGTCCACAGGCCAGAACCCCCCTCTGCACATCGTCCTCCAGTGTTGTTGTGGCGATCTGTATTTCGATAGGCTCTCGTCGAATCCGCCTTGCCCGGGAGTCACAGGGCCTGGTGCCACGGAGGGCGTTCTATCGATTGGTCTTGATCCCCCATCATGCATCATACGATTCGATGGACAACCGCTGATTCAGACATCTTGCATTAGGATCTGGAAGGAGAAGTACGACCCTCCGGGCGAAGGCAATCGCAAGTAGTGCAACTGTAGCCATGTGCCACTGTGACTGAGAGGTGCATCTCCGCGACATATATGCCGTATAAGTCAATCAAAGAGGAGAAGGAGGAGGAGAAGTCGATGGGACAGTCAACCACATAGTGTTTGATTCGCCCCTTGGATGACCAGCCAGCTTTTATCCCGTATTGATGTAACTCAGCTGATTTAGGGGTGTCTAGCTCACATTAACATATATGTATACTTGCCAGATGCGGTTGGGTGGATAAGGCTGTTGTGGGTTGTGTGTGCTTGTGTCTCGATATCTTACTATTCTTAAGTATATAGATAGAGTACGGGGTGTTTCGACCTTGCGTCTTGTTGTACATATCATATCGCAACACATTATCTGAGTGGTTCTCTACATATCGTTTGGGTCAAGACCATTGGTGTAGCAGCCGTACATCGCCCATCGCCGCCATCTCGCGACAGATTTTCCCTCTTCTCTCACTTTGGACCTCGTGACAAAACCCTACCAATCCCACAAGGCGCCTATTATTGATGCCCAACGTCGATGGCCTAAAGACTTTATATTATTATTGGTCGTCTTAGTCATGCGGCCTGTTAACGCGGCCCGGTCGAGGCCTACATGACGAGGGGTGCACGGAGCTTGTCACGGCTCATCGCTATAGCAGGCCTATTATAGGGATCAAAGTGAACTCATCTTTCTTCAGGTGGAGATGCGATACTGAGAAGGGAGCTTAGCATTAGTGAATGGATTTGAAAACGCTATATCGCTGCCTGTAATTAGGTAGTGGTTGAAATCTCAGCGGTTGAACTTGGTCCATTCGTCTCTTCAGGCTCTTGAGACTATCGCATCTTTATCGCATACATGGCCAGTGATAGGTTTGTTTGTTTTCCAAGAAACCCGTCTGTTCCTTGCGTCGAGGAAAGAAGAAATTAATCTCAAGACTCCCAACTAAAGCTATCCCTTCAGCTCAACGCCCTGAAATGCAATGCCATGCAATGTAGCCACGCCCGGCAGTTTCCAGACAAGATGCAACTTCAAGGATTCCCCATACCAAAGAGCAAAGCCGTAGTGGCGCAGAACCGGTGATTCGATATATACGTGTTTAGACTATCAGCATAAACATGAGGCCTACCACTTTAGCCTCACCCTAGAAGACCTGATTGTTATTTTTATTTGCGCGCCAAATCAAGTCAACTCGTCAGAACTGCATGTACATACATACATGCTCGTCTAGGCTGATGTGCGCATCCCGTGCCGTCCCAGCGCCGCGCATTGGCAAGACATTGTCTAAGACAAACCACCCTCTCGCGCTGACACCCACCACTTGCATCTTCTAGCCTATTATCGACCGGTCTAGCATATGTCTCACCTGCTATCTTTTATAATTCTTGTTTCTTCAAAACTAACACCCGCTCCCCTTCCTCTTTTGGGACCTGGTCTGTTCAAAGTGTACGTAGGGTATAAAAGTCTGCCTAAGCAGATAGATATCCGATGATATGACATAACTGTTCACGAGGTAGCATCGGCATCATGATCGTCACGAATACTGAATGAAACTATTGAGATGGATGTTCTTTGTTTGATGCTCGCCGCGTGAAAACTAATTCCAGATAATTATCCATGCCATAAAATATTCTACAACTGACCGGATCACCTGGAACCGGAGGTTGTTTAAATGAATCGAACTAATTCCAAACAAACAAGTAAATGGATCATCGACGAGCTCGTATCATCGTCATCATAGACCATTCTCAGTCATTGTCGTCTTCAGACGTATGCCAATTTCCATCTCCATCCATATCCTTAGCCTCCAAATCCGTTCCATGCACCGCGATAGTATCAAGACTCTTCATGGACTGGGCCCTCATAGAGTCTGCCTGCTCCTTCCTGCTGGCTGCTGTTTCGCCGCAAGTGTCCACACCCAGTCTGGCTCACATCCGTCCACATCGACCACATCCCGTTCGCCGTTACCAAAAGAGAGGTATCCAATTTCGAGAGAGGAAAACCGATGCCACGCTGGGAAAATCACTCAAAAAAACAAATCAATGCACGCTCGCTTGCTCAATCCATAGGAAATCAGAAAGACCCCGAAATAGGAAATCCACAAGAAACGACAAAAGGAAGACAAGAAACCATCCATTTGGGTGCGTGAGCAACATGTCTGGAGTGCGCGAGAGCGACATCGAGTATATGGCAGCTCATCCCCCATGAAGAGGAAGGAAAATAGCCGACTTACAAGGAAAATAAGTGACAAAAGAAAAAGGAAATAGAGAAAAATGAGAACAAGTGATCCAAAGCCGTTCGAGGCTAAGCCGTGAATTCGTCATCGTGACTTTTTTTTATATTCTTGATTCGTGTCTTCGTTCATGTCCTTAATTCGTTGCATTGCTGCTCATTTTGCGCGCTGTTACATTCTGACACCATTTTCGCGAAGTTTCGCACAACGTCGTTGGGAATCTGGTCCCACAGAAGGGAGCGCGTGTATACTTCGGCTGCATCGTTTTGTTTGTTTGGAATTCGCATCGTCGCAAGTGCTTCGGCTAGATTTCGGCGACCTTGACTGGGTGATGATCTCTCAGGAGCGTTCTGGAGGAAGTCTTGGGAGTTGACGCCATTATACTGAGCAGCTGACAAAGAGAAGATTTGCTCGTTGGTCTGCTCCTGAGTCGGCTGAGTCAGCTGGTCACCAAGCTCACCAAGCATTGAAGGTGCAACACCATCCATCGCCATATCATTCATGGAGATGGTATTGCCCCAATTAGCAGCGCCGGATGGTTGGGGGGGAGCTTGCAGGCTGGCCGATTGAGAGTTGACACCAGCGTCCTTGAGAACGTTGTCGAGAATGGTGGCAGAGGCGGCCCTGACATCCTCAGAAACGCGAGGAATAGCAGGGGTCGAGCGGCTCGAGAGGACGAAGGCACCAACGAGGAAGAGCATGAAGAGGAGGCCACCCTGGGCGGCAGGCTTCTCGCTCTCGACGAAAGGGTTGTCGTTCTTCTTGGTGGGAACAACAGCCATCTCCTGCTTGACTTCAGGCTCCGGATAATCGTGAAGGAAGTTCGAAGCATCCCATGCACCAGGCATGCCCAAGCCATCCATAGCGTCCATGGCATCGAAGCCGTTTGAGAAGCCATTGTCTCCGGTGGCGGGAACGGCGCTATCGAGTCGCTGAACATGGTCCGTGAGAACGCTGATCTTCTTCCTCAGTTCGCCAGTCTCATTGGTGTGAACACGGATCATCTCTTCTTTGTCCAGCCTCTGGGTCTCGATGAACTTGATGCATTCCTGCTTTTCGAGGGACAGTTGTTCAACCCGAGCATGAAGCATCTTCAGCTCTTCCTCCATGTCAGTCATGAGAGCGGTATATTGCTTCTTCTCATCCTCTAGACGTTCAGTATGCTGCTTCTTGCGTTGTCTCGAGTCAAGACTGACGATAGTTAGCATCAAATCTTGAAATGTAAACGTCTTATGTTTATTTAGTGGGGCGGGACTTACGCTGCTTGTCGGTTACGGAGCAGTCGCTTCTGCTGCTTGAGCTCCTTAATCTCTTGTTCATCAGTGGACTGAGAAATAAGATGGTCGATGTTGCTGAGATTCCGCTCTGCTGGAATATCAAAGCGAGCATTCTTCTTCCGGATACCGTCGCCACGGCGCATCTCATTGTGAGAGCGGAGACCGGGGCTGCTAGGGCGCATTTTGTTCTTGTTAATGGGCTGCTGAGGGGTCATCCACTCTTTCTGGGGAGATGTGGGGATAGACTGGGAGCCGACAGGAAGTGACGGGAACATGTTCCCAGGGTTTGTGAAGGGTGTTGGGCCGGCCATGGGTCGGTGGAAGAGAGAGGCGTTGGCGTCATATTCAGCAGGAACACCATCGAAGGGATTCAGAGGAGTGCAAGTGCCGGAGGTGTTTCCGAACCAGTTGGCAGTGGTAGCGAAGCCATTGTTCTGAGTGTGATCAGGGCGCATAAAAGGGTTGTTGCTATGCTGATCAAAGAAAGGGTTGTTGGAGGAAACCGACTGCATTTCGACGGATTGCCAGTCCTCCTGTTTTGGTGAGAAGAGAGGAGGGCCGACAGCAAAGGATTCTCGACGACTGTCAGCCATGGGGGGCGATAGTTCTAAGCCCGAATCGATTGTGTTGTGTTCAAGAATGTTGTCGTCTAATACACTGTTGTCTTCGTCTTCGAAGTACTTCTGTGCGTGTTGTGTATCCACGGTTAGAGAGGCTGGACGATAAAAGGGTTGTTGCATTTGAAATGTTGAAGTCATTGTGGTGATGTGAGATTGAGTGAGTGAGAGAGTGTGTGTTAAGTGAGGTTTTGTGTGGGTATATGTAAGAGACCAGGGCGGGGAAGTTTAAAAGAAACAGTGGAAGAAGGAAGCAAGGCTGCAAAGAGAAAATAGGAGCCAAGAAGGGAAGGGTGGAATCTGAAGAAGGAGACCCAGATTCGGAATCAGTATCAATATCAAGGTGAAGAGCACAGAGGCACAGAGGGAAGCGAAAAGAGGTTGGGATTTGGGGGAGGGGCGCGAAATAATAAAGTACTGGAGAACCCAAGGTAAGGTATCATCTTTTTTTTCCTTTGCGCGCGGGAGACTCAAACAATGTTTGGTGGGCAAGGCCGAACCGTAGCGTGGGCAGCGGTGAAGGACGAAACGGGTACGGGTGTGTATTTTTGGCAGCCTGCCAAGTTTTCACCCACCCAGAATCCAGCAGCTCACCTCACTTGTAGGCAAGGAAGGAATGGCAGGACAGGGCAGGGGCGTGTAAGGTGAGGTGAGGTGGGCTTTGAGAACCTGGAAGGAAGCCAGAAAGCCCGACCCTCCGGAGCGTGCTTGGGTGGGGTTAAGTGCAAGGCCAGGCTGATGCGAAAAGGGTACAGAGAGTGTGACTCAGTGCTCGGCGGGAGAATCGGGGGGATGGCTCGTACCTCTCGAGTACTTTGGTACTCCAGTTTGTGGCCAAGATACTTAGGTAGGTAAATTGAATGGAAACGGGTGATAGGGAATGAGACGGGCTTGCAAGCTCTTGTCTTTTCTCTCGCAACGCTGAAGCGCAGGCGCAGCAAAAAATAGGTAAAGACGAAGCTTCTCCCGTAGCGTATTGTTTGTGTACAAGGGACTCGAAATCGGCCTCCAAGAATAGAGTGATAAACTAAGTTTGGAATCCTGGTAGGGACCAAGATAGGAAAATGGGAAGAATATACGAAGAATCTAGGGTTCAAGGAAGTGGAAAAGAGGCTGGCGATAGATGGGATAATAGGTAGTGGAATGTGCGGCACGCCGGACGACCGAACGGCGAGGACGGGAAAGGACGGGAATGGCAACAAGCGTACTGGCCGATTCACTAGAATACAACCAACAATGACAGGCCAGAAGGAAACAGGAAATCAGGCGCGCGACTGGACACTCTCGGTATCTGCAATGCAGTATAATGCAGTGCAGAAGCCTAGCACAGCGCAATAGACAATGACCAAATAAGGAGCACTTACAACAGCGAGAGACCGGCGCAACAATATGTCCTGAGGCTTTAGGATGGTGTGGGCTAGGCGTTGTGTGGTGCTGATGATGTCCAGGGTTGACTTTGATGGTGCCGTTTTTGAGGTAATATGTGTGTAGTGTGCACTATACAGCTTTGTGTGGTGGATGGTGCAATTGAGACCTTGATGTAGTCTGCAATCCTGATAAACAAGATAAGGTAGGACGACGAGCAGAGACGATGGGTTACTGGGTATGTATGAAGAAAACAGACTTCTACTTTGGGATCAAAGCGAGGACAATCTTCGATTATGTACTTGGACGGGGCAAGTTGCCGGCAATTACTCTTGTGGAGCAGACACTCAAGCATCCATTCGCATTTTAGACCACGCCGACGATGCCAGACTTGTAGCAACGCGGTCATGGCAGGACATGGACAGGTCTTGTCTCGCGAGTTTGGCAGGGCACCTCTGCGAGACGGAGGATCATGGATGGTCATGACCCACCAGAGACCGGGGTCTGGTATTGGCCCGTCTTCCTCGGCACAGTTGGAGATGTCTAGGTCTCAATGATCTGCTCGAATGACAGCTCCCTTAGCTAACAGATCTCATAAGCGCTTTACTGGGGCATGACCGCGGTGATGGGGAATGAGAGATCAGATCAATCAGAGAGAGAAAGTGTATGAATTGATGATCGAATGAGCCAGTGAATGAGCTTCCTGAGCAGCACGCGTCTCATCGATTTAGCCGTCTGGGCCGTATCCAATATGATATTGGAATAAGAACCCAGCGTAGCAGACGATCTATCTGGGTGTGGAGGCGCAAGTCAGGGTTGGGGGGCCTCAATCGACCAGGCAAACTTGGGGTCCAACCAGGCTGAAGATGCTCTCAATGGCAAGAGCCAGAAGACCAGATGAGACGGGCCCAGGCCGCGATACCTGGAACTAAACTGGCGATGCCGATGTTTCTTCCCTCATCGGATCTCTTCCATTGCCAACCTCGACATCACCGCCATCGGCTATCAGTCATAGTAGCGGTGATGGGTTTCAACGTGCCCAGCCAAATCTGTAACAACGACTCCATTATCAATTATCGTTGCGGTGGAAACCAACGATACGTAACAGTACGGGAATGGAGGACAGAACTCCGCAAAGGCGAGAGATTGTGACAGCTACACCACGATGTCTATCAGATCTCCAGATGTGAACCGACTTCCCGTTTCTGAATACAAAATGAGCTTAGTTTAGCACACCAGGCAGGGGATTTTCCTCATGTGTCATCCAAGCCTGGCCCAAGAGGAGGATTACCGTGAATGCTATTCGTTCTTACTTGTCAGCCATGGAGCCCGTGTGAACAATTAGCAGCGGCGTATGTTGCTGCTAGCTCCAGAAATGGGCCGTCGTCACTTGACCGCTGCTCTGTTTTGTAACATACAGTACACCAGCCTTGGCCTTGTTCCCCCTTGGGCCGCTACCAATTCATGTTGCGAGCGATTCTCGCGAGTGATGAGGCCATCGTCTCGGGCTTTTCTCTGCATGCTTTGTGATCTTCTTGTTCTTCAAATGTCTAGACTGGAAACCTTGCCACTAACTATCCCAGCAACCCCACGCTTCTTGAGAGCCAGTAGCTACACCTGAGTGGTGTCATGGCTGAAGGCTGACTATGATCTTACAAGGATGAAGAAACATGGGGGCATATGTCTTGTATGTACTGCCGGGAGCGACAATAAGCA